CAGCCCCGTCACTACCATTCTACCAGCCGCCGCAATTTGTCTCCGGTGAAGTCGACCCGTCCGAGAGCAACGACGACTAGCGCGCGCCACCCGACACTGGCGAACAGGATAATCGTCAACTTCCAGGCACAGTCTGACCTCCAAGCGCAGTCAGCCACCAAGTTCCGCCGCCTCTCACAGAGACCAACCACCGACCACCACCGTCGAGACCCGCCATTAGAAGCCGCGGGAAGTGGTCGAGTCCCAACAGATGAACAATGCAAGTTGAACGGACAGATTTCTGATATCCAGAAATAAAATTAAATTTCTGAATTTTCTTGGCATCAAGTTGAGAATTAGATAAGCTTAAAAGACTTCATTGCAATTTAAGAAATTTGAATATATTCAATTTAACCCATGGGCCAAATAGGTAATTTACAAAATTATATAAAAATATTATTTTTATATGTATTTTTTATGCATATTTTTATTATGTATATTCAACAAAAAAATAATATAAAATATTACATAAACATATTAACATAATTAATATATTTTTATAATATAAATAATAATTAATATATATTTATAATATAAATAATAAATTAGTTGTATGATTTAGGTTAATTTGATGAACCAACAAAATAACTCAATTATTTCGGTTCGATTTCAGGTTGAATTTGAACAAAATAATAATAATAATAATAATAATAATAATAATAATAATAATAATAAATATACTTTTATAATAATGAATAATAAGTTATTTCAATTATTTAGATTAATTTGATGTACAATTATATCTACTAAAATATAGTTTTCAAAAACAAATAATTTATATGTGATCATATAAAGTAGTGCACTTTATATATCAACGGTGCACTTTATAAAATAACACGATGCACATTATAAAACAACGCGTTGCACTTTATCACTACACTCCACAATTAACGTCAACAGCTCCCGCCAGAATACCACACAACATAAATCTAAAAAAATGGATATACATAATACTTTAACATCAATCACATCATTTATCCACACAAAACATAAACATGCTAATGTACCAAAAATTACAATAGTTCACCTTATACATCGCCACGTTGCACTTAATATTTTAACATCAATCACATCATTTATCCACACAAAATACAAACATGCTAATGTACCAAAATTACAGTAGTTCAATTTATACATCGTCGTGTTGCACTTTATAAAACAACACATTGCACTTTACAAAGAAACAAGCTACACTTTGTCACGACTAACAGATTGCACAATAGAGATCTAAACCGACCGAGCTCAAATATATATATATAATACGTAAAAGACCTCCGACCAACTGGAAATCGGCCTGGAATGAGCTTCCTCGCCGTTTGAACGCCTTTAGACCTGCAAAAACTCTCACACTTAAGGGTTTTCCGGTGAAAA